GGAGGTCAGCAGATGACGTGGAGACGAGGCATGAAGAAATGCACAGAACCACTGAGTAGAGTAGATGTCTCTCGCCTTCCAGGTTGGGGTGCAAAAGACTCCACAACTGGCTGGTTGGAGACATTGAAGGATATGGCAGCGAACCGACAGCAGTGGCGTTCTTATTGTCATTTCATATCAGGCCAGAGCGCTTGAAATGGTATGTATGGAGAGTTCGATTGTGCACTCCGTGTTGACCATAGAGGTTCACCGTCTTCACCCTCCCTCAAGTTAGGTCCAATCCCTGTCCATCTTAAATTTTACCACTAAGCTTGTATGCATTGCGAGTTTGGCAGCGATCAGTGAAGTTCGCTTCACTGTATTTCGCTGTACGATGATGATGATGAAGTATACCTGAAAATAGAATCCTTGCTACCACAGAAACGACGACGTGGTTGTTGTGGCCTACAGTCGAGTGAACCGTTTACCGCGCATCACATGATTGACCATTGCGGCCTGCCACCACACCCACGTACACACGTCATGCGGACTCACTCTGTTACAAGTTCGATCCCCCTCAGCCGATCGGAGGTCAGTATTGACCTATCCGCACTCATTGGTTAGTTGACTGACCAGCGTGACGGCATACTCCTTCTGGTAACGCTTACGCCAGTTTGTGCCTGCCTGCGTGTTGACGAATTGGTTTCTTACCGGCCCACAGACCGGCTACGTTTACATTCACATACTGGAAATAGAATAACTACTTCATTCACCGATTGCGTACTTATTGACTTATACGGGATACAACAGTGATATTCACGGAACTATGAGTATGGATATATGCGCCGACAAGTTGTGTCCACCAAAGCTGGCGTGCACTCAGTTTACCCATTTGTAATGGCACTCACAACAAGCCTCTGTTGCTGCTGTTCATTCGGGCTCGTCGAATATATCAAAACATGAGTCTGTTACATCTAGACTCAGGTATACGACAGGAGCTGACTTCAGTTGCTTCTCTCTGCAATCATTTTGGATAATTTGATTAGAAAAGATAGTAATAGTTCATCCCTGCTTTTTGTGATTTATTCTGTTTGATTTCTAATTGTGAATTGTTGGTCTTTCGATGTGTTGGGATCAGGTGACGCATACGTTACTCAGCTCAAATATGGAACCATTTCGATACGATGGGGAACTTCCCGCGACGAAAGTGCCTCGATCGCCGGTGAGTGTTATTCTAAAACTGTTTTCTAATAGTGATATTATATTGTTTAACCGATCAATAAAATGGTATGTAGATATCATCTATTGATTAATTTTCTGTTGCCTTACATTATTAAGGACGTACGATTTTCTTGTCTTTAATGAATTATTCCGTTATTGTTTCCAAGCATTTCGATGCTTTTAATATCTTTATTGACAAGATATTGCGTAATCAAGGGCACTGTCTGCATTGCGAAATCGTAAAAGCCCTGTTGAATCTCCGAACTCGTATTAGCCCTTTTCTACCCGTACTTCCACACATAAAAGCAATGTATAATTCCACACCTTAGTCGGCTACTGGTTAATCGCTTTAGACAATTGTTTCCTACCTTATTGAAAGATTCTTGTATCACGCATTGTTTTTTTCTCTTCTCATTTACTGCAGTATCGAATTTGTTTTTGTTTTTGATTGCAGTTTGTTTTATATTTCCATTGTGCAAGCCTTTAAATTGCTGAACATTCAACCTTTGGTTGCACGAGGCTTTTCTTGATTTGTTTTGAGCGATCGATAAGGCCTTTCTTGACTTAACCTGACCGGTGATCACCATCAAAATTTCACTGTGTCCGGGATTCGTTTGGTAAATAAATTTGAATCCTGATGCATAGAGCTTCATCGTTTCATTCTTCAGTTTTTTTCGATTCTTTCCGCGAATCTATTTTGTGCACATCTAGCACGTGGCTCTTGCCGAACTACGGACCAGTTTCTGGGACATGGTTGATTCGGGAGCTTCGGCTAAGGAGTAAGCGACTCATTGTTCTCTTCATCCATGACCGATTTTCTTTCATTTTTAGTTTACTCGCTATGTATTTCAATTCCGTGGTCGCCATGTCGCCCACCTATTTTGCTCTCTGCCTGTTAGATGTGGCCACCTTATGGTCATTGTACGGCTATCCGTAAGTCTTTCTATTGACTGCTAATCGTAATCCTAACTGTAGTTGAGTGTAATTGTTTTCACCTGTTTAGATGATGACTTTACTTAACTATCGTACGTCCCTATATCCTAATATCGTCTTTCACATTTGATGGTCAGTGACAAGAACGGCGTAGATCCAGGCTTAACGCTATCTTCAGTCGCGAAAATCGTGCATCATTTGGAGCCTCGTTTTACCACTCTGTATTGATCAGTCTGACTTAGGTCCTTATTTGTTTGCTGAGACGGGCAACTCTAACCTAGATTCGAGACAAGCAATGTTGGGGTTAGTTACCCAGGTTTAGTTAACCGCGGTCACCAGCTTGAGGACTAGATTGACTAAAATAGACTTCGTCGATTGTTACCTGTCACGAAATAGGTTTTCACGGTTAGTAATGTTTGCCTAGGTAGGTAGTGGGTGAAAAAGATCAATGGGTTGTCAAGTTAAGATTTGGCATGCGGTATTGAAAACTCTGACCAAGAAACTTGCTCATATAAATCGTGCTAGGTTTCCTGGATAGGGACCTCGGAATCATTTTAATGAAGGCATACAGACACAGCGATATTAGAGTATCAAGCTTGGATTAGCCCATTCGATTGTTCAGAGGCACCAGGCACTCTTGATGGTCGAAACAGTTGTCCAGTGCTCTTTGTTGGTTATCATAAACATTTCCATCGCACACTGAGCGCTATGTTTGCGTTTCGTAAATAGTGGCTCTATTGCATCTCTTCAGTCTCTTTACAACGCTAGGCTAGAAGAATTCTCTATTTACTGTTTTCAGTATTCCAATCACTGTCCCTACTCTTCAACCAAAACCACCTCACAGTGCTTGTGTTCCACAAAAATGGATTGCGACTGTCAGTTGTAACTCAGCAAATCGGTGTTTGTACGCTCGCTTTACTCGAGAATCTGTTGTCACTCGATTTATAGATCTCATCTTCAGGTTCTTAATGAATTGTTCAGTGCAACCGTGAATTATTTCGGAAGTCTCTTGAAAGACTATAATTGAATTCGTTGTTTCTCTGAGCTAGGTTGCGTTTCGATTTGAACAGTGCCTCCTTTTTGATGGTACTCATACTGTTGAGCAGCGTGATTGGCTATAACCTGTCTATCTTGGTAAACCTCGTGGTCAGCGTTAGTACATTGTAATCCTTTATGTTTTATAGCCTGCAATAAGTTACAGATCTTTGTTGCAATGCGGAAGTGTATTTTTTCCAAGCTTCCTAAAGCGTCACAAAGAGCAGTCAAAACATATTACTGGTGCCGCCTGTTGCACAAACCACGTGATCATTTGTAAAATGCACACCATCTTTCCAGTGCTTTTGTTCCAAAAAGAAATACCCGGCATTCGAATAATTTAAACCTTTCTCCCTTCATCTTTCTACTATAGCACCTTGTACGCTGCCTTACTTCAGTGTATTGTGAACGCAGATTGTCTACAACCCTGCCCATATTCGGATGCTGTTTTGACCACGGCTTTCTCCGGACTGATCAAGGAGTATAATGCCTCGGTAGGAGTGGTATTGGATTTGTCCTTTTTTGTATACTATAGCTAAGCCCGTGTTTTAATGTTCAAGGAGAAGTGATAGCTTTACGGTCTACGGGGTAGACAGTTTAGTGTTTGAAACGCGCTAGGCAAATTCAGTCAGTTTCAGTTATCCCACCAGATTCGCGCAATACTGCGTAGACAGCGATGTTCGAACACCGACAATCTATCTTCATCCTGTTTTCCTAATGACCAAGTTTCTGCACCGTATAGCAGAACTGGTCGAAATGCCACAGCATATACTCGACCCTTCACGGACAACCGTATGTTGCGGTGGAACCACACATGTCTCAAATTGGCAAGTAACAATCGAGCCTTCTATAGCAACATTTTACACTTTGAAGGTGCAAAACGCATACCGAACATGGCTACATCCCGCTCAAGCTATCCAGAAAAGCTTGTAACTTGTAACCTGGATCTTCATTCAGTAGCACAGTGTAGCCTGCATACTCCAGATCAGACAGTGTACGACCCGGAAACAACTGGATGCCACTATCCTCAAACGACGAACACCACTTTCCATGGTGAACTCGAGTGAAAAAGTGCCTTAAGCTCGGACTAGGCTTCGGCTATTCGTATAAAGGGATTCTAATATTAAAATTAACTTCTGGGGCATGCCCTTCAGAGAAAGGCAGCACCAGATTTTGGAGCAGTCGTCTAAGTCGCAAGCCGCTTTCAGGTCGAAGGCGACAGAGATGGTAGGTCTACGAAAAAAATCTCGATGATCCAGAGTTTGGCGAAGAGCAAGCATGTAGTCAATGCAACCTCGACCAGGTCTAAAACCAGCCTTGTTCTCACGCGTGCACTCTTCACGTGCGGCAGACAATCGACAGACCAATTCGCATGCAACAGACACTTTTCGGATTGTGAAATCAAATCAGTGAGCACTTTTGCGTTGACCACTGATAATGCGTGTCACGAAGAAAAAGTGAAACATCTCTTGTCGATTTCCAAAACCATGCTCCAAACACAAGTGTGAGTTGTTTCAGGATTGTTGTCTCTTGTCAACTGTCATTGAATCAATCCTGTTCCAGATGAATTCACCGCATTTTTTAGTCAACGCTAATGGCGTTTGTTTTATTGGTCCTCTCGGTCAGATGTTATCACGCCCAAAGAACTAGCAGTCTGTTTTGATGTAAACTATTTATCATTTAATTGAAGCGCATGGTCACTGCCGGTCGAATGATTGGATCGTATCGGTTTCGATGTCTCTGGAGTTTTCTGTCTATTTTGTAGAGAATATTTAATGAAATATTAAATTTTCATTTTTTTGCTTACCTGGACCACGAGAAAAGCTGTTTTACCTCTTCAATGATGATCCGTTCGTAGGGTGCTGTGAGTGAGGCTCTTGAAGTAACCAAGGCGTGTAATCGCGTGCTCTGCCGTTTCGTGGAGAAATCCCTAATCCATCAAGCCAGTCTACAAGTCGAATTGGAACAGGCTCTGCGTAGCCGAACAGATCTGTCTCGTTGTGACCGTTTGATTAACGCGTTACGGCTCTGTTGTCCTTGGGAAGCAGCATTCTAGTAAGTTCTCAACGAAAAAAGTTTTGTTTCTGTGTATGTGTCCGATTGTGTCACATTTTTGTCGCCATCATCTTACAGTGTAATGGAGGGAAACAAACTTCACTGATCTCCGCCAAACTCACATTGCTTGCATACAAGTGAGAATGTGTAAGGATAGTCGGATTTGGTACAGTACAGAGTACACAATCCAATTGTGCATACACAGGTTTTCAAGCATTCCGGTCTGATGAGATGTGACAACTAGAACGCCACTGCTACGGGTTTGCTGCCATAACCTTTCGTGTCTCTATCCATCCAGTCACTGAGTCTTTTAGACCCCAACCCGAAAGGCGAGAGACACTTTCTCCACCTAACTGCTCAGTGCATTTCTTCATTACGGCACACTAATAATACAACATATAATGCTCAAAAAGCCTCACTAGGGCTGCGGCTGGTCACCCTTCGCTTGCACCTCACGAAATGTTCCCATACGACCAAGCTTCTCAAATTGCCTCTG